TTTGACAGAAGCCCGGAACCCCGCGGACTTGATATATCATGCCTTTTCGGCTAGGAGTTCAACATCCCTTATGATTTTTGACAGCATAAAAAATTGTTTCTTTTCAAGAGGCTTTGTATTTTTCTATTCTTAGGACACATTCGGAGACATTTTTTGTCATTTCATTCTTCACAGACGTGCTGAGTCTCAATACAAAGAAAAATTTATTTAGAAATTTAGAACAGTTAATAAGTACTTCTTTGACCGGGGCTTGGTTAACTCTAACGTTTTTCTAACTACAAGTTATCATTACTTTTCCCTGATCATATTTTAATCACATAACGAGCTCTCATATTTTTTTATACCTGAGCAAAAATACGCATCGAAAAGGATGAACACACGGTTAAGGCCTTCTTAAATAATTTATGATTATCTGTTTGATGCCTAAACTTTGTTTTGTTATTGTTTATTCTTTGAGAAGTTGGCAGAAATGGCTACAAAACATGATTGCAATTTTTGCATGTTCATATACTTTTTCTAGAATGTGTGGGACAATGCTGCTTTGATTAATAACAAGATGATGAATCATTTCTATAGACCCGCTCAACAGTAGACGCTAAACTTATCAGCCCAATTACACTTCTACTCGGAGTTCTTAACTTCTAAGAGCAACATCATTATCTTGGCTAGAATTCTCCAAATATTTAAGCTAAATGATTCTGAGTTAGTCGCATGATACTTCGTACTCAGATCGTTCGGGATCAGTTTAGATTTACGATAGTGTAATACCACGATATCATCAATAGTTAACAGGCTCATAAAAAGGTCACCTGAAGCTCCTTTGGAAACCTAAAACACTATTAGCTTTAAAATTCTGCATTCACAAGAAGAGTTCCAGATCTGTTTTTCCAAGAAACCCTTAAAAAATATCAATTAACGACCACGACCTTTCTTAGTGTCTTCATTAATAAAATGAACACCCTTCTCGACTGTGCCCGGGAAATGTTAAGCAACTTTTGTGAGTCTAGCAACATTGTGAAATTTTTATATATCTGAGAAATCTGCGCGCAAAATAATATTTTCTTATATTTGGCATTTCTTCCGGGAGATCAAGTCACATTTGTAGGAGAGTAATAGATTTCTTTCTTCCCACGACCTTTGTCGGCGCGTTCATTAGTAAAATTTAATACCTTCAAGGTCCATCCCGATTGTGCTCGGCAACTTTTAAGCAACTTTTGGCGTTTACAGGTACTTTATTCGATTTTAGAAACATCGACAAATTCTTGTCTATTTGAGAAATTTTGGCGCAAGATAAAGACTAAGAGCACATATCTAGCGCGAACAAGCCGACGATTTCATAGAAAATTTCAGTTTATATAAACTCCTTAAATGTCTATCAACACATAACCTGTCATTTGACATCGTTTCGTGCGGCAAGTCGCCAAATGAAGCATGTGTTTTGTCCCGTTAGATTTAAGCTTTGAATATTCTTAAATTTAGCCCATAATTACGTGAAACTCTTTGAAGCTAAGTTTCAAGTCGTTTTTCTTGAGTGATGCGAGTGATTATTACTTATCATTCCATTAAAAAAGAGATCAAGAATTTTAGATAGGAAGTTTTGGATTTTAGACATTTTTTGCCACCTTTTTAAAAGAATTCCATTAAGCAACTTTTCAGCATTTTACGAACAGAACCGGTACATGCCCAATATCTGCCCCCCCCAGGTATCCCCGAGCAACATTTCGATGGCGCTAAGACCTCGTCCAGAGGTTGTTTCTGAATTCCTCTGATTGGGCAGTAGATAGCTATTTTAAAACTTTAAAAAATGTTTTTAAATCTTTAAATAGATCGAAAATGAGCTTCGAAAGTTGAAATAATCGCATTCAGATGGTGTGCACAAGTAGAAACCTAAATATAGAGCTACTTTGCGAACAGGTGGAGTTCAGATTACAAATATGAGAATTTCATAATTATAACTCAAGAAAAAATGGTTGCTAACAGGAGGCAGAAGGAAAATTACTGAGGAATTACTTTACGAATGAAAAGAAGTTAAGTTTAATTTGTAAATGGTTTGGTATGGGATTTTCTCTATTCTAATTAACTTTTTCTCTCTAACAACAGACACTGCGTTCACAAGTTCCGAGTAAGCATTTCTGAAGAACATTTAAATTTGCAAGTTTTGATGTGGTAATTGAACGTTTAAGCCAAACTATTTTGTCCGCAACGTAAAATGATATTGATATCAAAAGAGAGTTATTGGTAATCTCTTTACGAGAGAGAGTTTGTTACTAAATAATATGTATTGATAAATTTTAAAGTGCCTCTGTATAATAACCGAAGGTTAAGCATTGCAAGAGTCAAATAAAACTATTTTGAAACCTGGTTTGGATGCAGTTACTCAAAAATGACTTCAACATCTAATCCTGAACAGAATCTACTAAGAATTTTAACAGATATAGATTTTGCAAAGCAAATATTAAGAAAAGTAAACATGACGCGATTGCTAGCATTTAAAGCAATCGACTATCCTCATCATAGGAGTAAACCGATAATAGCAATAATAATAATAATAATAATAATAATAATAATACTAATAATAATGGAAACTTTATTTGTGTTTTTAAATTTACAATTGTAATTCTCACTACGTATAGGCAATTTACAAATGCTGCTTGAGATTGGCTTATTCAACACACACAGAAAAATTAAAATTGCATCAAATCTGGGCTGTCTCAATTTCTATTTCTACAACAAAAGACGTAATATGTTGCTCTAATAGCTATATTTATCATTTTATTGATTATGTAAAGTTGCTGCTTTTTGTCAATGCCTGTCATTCATCATGTCTAAGAAGGTAGAGCATTCATCTGAGAAAACGCGAAGGGAGCTCATGGAGAGATTTACAACTTTCACAGATCTGAAAGCTCTAATCATTTCGTTAATCAAGTTGCGATATTTTTCTTTTTTACCTACTGCATAATAATAATAATAAAAATAATAATAAAAATAATAATAATAAAAATAATAATAAAAATAATAATAATAATAATAATAATAATAATAATAATGGAGAAGCTTGCTAACAGCTAGAACACCAGAATTGTTGCCTTAACGACCCAAGGCAAAGATTTCTCTCCTACAATACGTTTTAAGGACATGACGTTGTTTGCTGCCTCTGATATCAAGCTAAAGCGAGTAAGGACAGTCGTAAAGAATGGAATGGAAAGCACCGGTCTGAGGTGGAATGAGAAGAAGTGTGCAGTTATCCAAGTGAAGAGGGGACAATCAACCAAGGAAGTGGAGATATGAAGATAGCTTATCTTAAGCCTATCAAGAGCTTGGACCAACATAACACCTATAAGTTCCTAGGTGTCTCCGAAAACACCAAGCAAGAGAATAAGCAAGTACTGGAAGCCGCAGCAAAGACATACCTACAGAGGCTATCAATCATTTGGTCCAGCCCATTGTCAGATCATGCAAAGGTAGTGGCATCTAATCAGCACGCTTTACCAGTACTTACATACTTGATGTGGACACAAACTAAACCGATAGCAAACGTCCAACTGATTGACAGAGAGGCTAGGAAGATCATCGTGAAGAATGGAGGAAATCACCTTAAGGGATCGACAGCGATATTCTACATGTCTAGGAAGCTCGGTGGAAGAGGTATTATGTCCGTGGAGAATGAATACAAGAACACTAAGATCAAATCAGCAGGAAAGCTTTACTGTAACACTGAATATACGATGGCAGCAGTAAGATCGTTTGAAGAGCCAGCCATACGAAATGGACGCCACTAGCAAAATAGTTCATCATTCTATTCCCAAGCCTCTCAATCTATTGTTAGCTGACACTGATAGCTCATTTCCGCATCAAGAATATTGGAGAACAAAGAACTGCTCTGTCTTGTGTGAAAATGATGATTCACAATGTCCCAGCTGTCACCAATATTCACACAAGTCAGAGCTAAATCACAAGGCTAAAGAGAAGAAGCTGATTGAACCTGCCCATTTATTTTCTCCAATATCTTAGACAGCCCCATAGCGGAGTAAACTCACTCTGCAAAGGCAACGGCTTAGGTGTGCGGAGCTCGAACGAAAGATTGTAAAAATGGAGGCTGAAATAAAGAAATCAAGCATAGAGGTAGATCATCAGCTGAGTGAGGACCGGTTGACATTCTAAGTAAATCAGGCAAAAAACTAACACCATTCATGAAGCTGTTCTGGCAGCAACAAAAAAAGTTGATGGGTCGCAGCTCTGCCGGTGTAAGATTCCATCCAATGATAATAAGATATTGTTTGTCGCTTGCTACAAAATCTCCAGCATGTTACGAAAAACTGCGGAGAAACGGCATCCTGGTGCTTCCAAGTCAAAGAACCCTCAAAGACTACAGGAACTGTATTCGTCGAAAGGCAGGATTTCAAAAGGAAGTTATCGAGGAGTCGAAAGAGATGACCAGTAGTTACTTTGATGTACAAAGGTACATAGTACTTTTGTTTGAAGGGATGAAAGTCAGTTCAAACCTAGTGTTTGACAAAAACAACTGGCGAACTTATTGGTTACTTAGATCTGGGAGATCTAGACTAAAAGGATAGACTGACAGCTTAAGCCTTTGCTTTTTTGGAAACTGTAATGAATACAATATAGCTTCGATTAATTCTAATAAAGAAAGGAGAACCCGAGGAAGCCATGATTTTAAATTTATTGTACCGAAAGGACATAAAGATAATTTTAGATTTTCTTTTTTCCCCAGGACAATCACTGAATGGGACAAACTTCCAAAAGAAACTGTTTCCAGCCAATCCGTATTAATAAAAGCAAACTAACTTAAATTTATTTATCAGTAGTTTTAAATAGTTTGTAATAGTTTTCAATAGTTTTTAATAGTGTTGTATATTTAGTATAGCTTCACTTATTATTATCTTACAGTTGCGGTGATGTCCTAAACGATTTTGCCGACATAACGATATTTAGATTTAGATTTAGCTATGATTGTGATGTGTAAAAGATAACACCAGCTAAATGACAATTTGTCAGAAGCCCGGAACCCCGCGAACTTGAAATATCATGCCTTTCCACTTGGTGTTAACATCCCTCATGATTTTTGACAACAAAAAAAAGATGTTTCTTTTACTCACAAATGACTTCAATACCTAATCTCGAACAGACTGTTCGAAGAGTTTTTACAGATATGGATTCTGTAAAGCAAATATTAAGAAAAGTAAATGTGATGCGATTGCTAGCATCTAAGGCAATCGACTATCCTCGTCATAGTAGTAAAGCGATATAACGATTGTATTGTATAATTATCGCCTTCTCAATCACGTGCATAAAGTTGTTTCATAATACTATTCTACTGTTCACCAAAAACATTGTCATTGTGTCTATCTATGCTAGCACAATGAAAGTAGTATACTGCGTCAAACGCTGCTTCACCATACTTTTAAAGTGACTTGAGTTGATAAGTTAGATTTTAAAGCCGCTATCTCTTCAGTTTTTCCCGTCAAAATCGTGAGGACAAATGATATCTCCTTTAAGGTCATCAAAGTTGATGTGACCCCAACTACCAGAAGTCTCATCTACAAGTTTGACTTGCGCATATTGACCAATAAACTCCTCTACGTCCCAGCTCTTACGGGTCATATTCTCCAGACAGTTTCCTGTCTCTTTTCTGACGATCTGAATGCAACGACAAACATAAAGGGTTTTTAAACCTTTGTTTCGACGATTGTTGACATATCTAGTACGACTACATCGTACATTAATTCACTTGCAATGCTTTAAACTTAGGGGAAAAAATTCTTGTTTCCAAGGAGGGTAAGCTAAAGACTAAAAAAGTGAAACATTGTGCCAGACGTGAAGTTGATTATCTCGCGGACTTTCCCTTAAGTAAGCTCAACAAAAGCCATTTCTAAGTCAAAAAATGTTTCAAAAGGAAAACCAAACGTTTTGGACACTTGGTTATCTCAGGGTCATCATCACTTCCGCAAATGATGACCAAGGGTCGAAAATGCTTAGATTTTACTTGTAAATATATTTTTCCCTGTAAATATTTCAATTTAAACCAAAGCGAAGTTTATGGATATCACGAAGCTCAAAACGGTTTAGCAATTTTGAAAGACAAAATCTCTGATACCTTGATCAATGTACCTAAGCTGTTTTATAGGAATCAAAGGACACATAATGGTCAAAGTGAATAATCTCACCTGGTTGTTGACAATAAGCTCCGCACGAACCTCATTTACTTCACATCCTCCACCAATGAGAAACGAAATATTCTTGCCAACAATACGAAAACAAAGTGAAGTGAGAGTTCCATGGGGTTTGTCGGCTCCATCTGGATGCTGCCCTCCTACGGGAAAGCTCTCATTTGGCCGTTTCTCAGCTCCCCCTACCCACCAGTCCCCTTGAGGCTGGGCGCTTTTCTTGCGCGCGACTGGATTGTCACCAAATGTTGGCTGGTACATGAAAGCTCTGCCTGTCATTTCCCACCCGCCGATTCCATCTTCAAAGTCAAAGCTGCAGGCTACATTAAAAAAAAAAAAGAAAAAAACCGAAATCTTTTATTCCCCTGATTATAATTCGGTATTGATTCCACTCTACAGTTTTTATTTAATTACCTCTCTTGCAGTATACACCAGTTAATCCTAAAGGACATTTACAACGAAATCCTTTATCAGTGTATCCAGCTTGACATGTGCCATTGTTGAAACAGAAACTGCTTCTGCAGGGATTCTATGCAAGACAAATTGTTGAAGACAAAATCATCGATTAGTTTACTTTCCCGGGTTATCATGTAATCTCGAATGAGCACATTCTTTCTGGAACGATACCTTCTTGAGGCTTCTTTATAACTTAAGTGAAGACAAGAATTAATTACATTTTATTAGTCATTAAACCAGTAAAATATATCAATCGCTGTACTCGATTTTCAATGGGTCTCTTTATTTTAGCCACGAGTATCTTGTTGTTTCATTTTTTAACATCGTAGAGATGACACCGTTGGTGTATCTTAGCTTTGGCATTCTCCCTTCACGTGACTCCTCATAAGTACATAAAAGTTGTCGAAGGATTTTTTTAGTGAAGTTTTCTTTGAAAGGTCTCCATCAATCTCTGTTTCTAGAATTACCATACAAAGGAAAACTCGCCCAAGAGATAAATAGTCAATCTTGCCGTATTTATGTGGGTTATTTTATAGCTTCACAAAGTCTTTCTCGATAGTTTTATTAAGTAACACTGGCAAAAAATCGTTTTATAGATAAGTAAAAAGTCTCTAATGTTTGTAACAATGTGATATTGATATAATATATGGAAAAATCTCTCAATCTCATACCATCGAAATCAGGTCAAAACGTTCCTCAGGATGTACAATGCAGTACTAAGGAATCATTTCAATTCAATACATGCACACGAAATGCAAGGGTAGTTTAAGAGGTAATCTATCGAACTGATCGCCCAGAATAATTGTTCATCGCCTAAAATAAGTCACTTTACCTCGATACTGAGATGAGTGTAGTCTTGTTTACTCTGAAGGTTGGACGAGCCTGGACTTTCGTCCGAAGCGTTGTTCAACTCACAAGTGTAGTACCCTCCTTGTGAAGGACCAACATTTATGGACACACAATTGGGCTCTTTATAACACAGCAAATAACAACTGCCTTGGTGTATCACCTCTTCAAGCCTGATCAAATGGCCTTTCAAGACTCTGTCCTCTATGGGTTCTTTGAAAATAATGGATCGGCATTCTACACCTATTTGGTTTGCAAACGATAGAACAAGTTCATGCACAGTTTTGGTTTAGAATAAGATAATGTCAGGGTAATATCCTTAACAAATTAATTTGCCTCGAGAGACTCTGGATAATGGTTTGTCGCTGCCTTTTTGAACTCTAGGAGTTTTCCCTGACACGGTATCCTAGGAGACTCAAACTCCTGCTTGTTAGTTTTTCACCGAAGAAAGAACTTGTCTCAGCAGTCTCTGTGATTTTACCGTTAGATTTTGAATGTGCACTGGAAGAAATTGTGAGAACCGGAGGCAAGTTACGGGTCAAAGAGGAAGCAATTAATTTCCATCCATTTTTAAGTCATCATGTCATACTAAAAATAACTATTGAAAGCGACAAACAGGCCCCCACAGTCCCATGCCTTGAATGTTGATCTCCTTCCTGCACTGT